GGCCAGACTTATAACATCATCGACTGACAAACTCTATTCACTTGACTCTGAAGATGACTTCCGCTCAAGTTGTCGGAACGTCAGTCACCAACAACAGTTCTTTTCAGAACTACCCTCACCTGAACGATCAAACTATACAAACTACTGATACTCCTGGGTTCAAACCATTTACTATAATAAACATATTTAATTTGCCATGTCAATTTAAAATATAAACCCATAACCTATAACCCTTGTGCGATAAAGGTTAATTTGCTTCGTTGCATCTATATTTCAATGAAAACATTTTATTAGGTAAAAAAATAATATAACAAAAAAAAGACACATTGATCTCGTAGCTTAGAAATTTTAGTGAAAGACAAACTTGTGTCTGTCCAGTGGAGTAACATGGTAAGGTGCTATAGCTTCAAGCCTCACCATGTGTTCATCAGATGTCCTTGGCAAAGGAAATTGATTTTTTCAGTGGTCATCTCCACCAGGATGTGCATAAATTTATGTTTGAGAGTAGTGAGATGTTTGGAAACTTGCAAAAAAAAAAAGAAAAAAAAAAACTCAGCGTGTAGACTACTGTCTCATCCACAATCAGTAGTAATGTCAGAAATTAAAGTCATATGCTGTTTTATAGTAACTGACTAGATACATACTTTTACTCTGCATGGCCTAAATGTTTCAAATTTCTCTCAACAGAGACCAAGAGCTGGTAGTCAAACAGCAATAATTAGGGGATCTCAGCAGTATATTGCTGGTATAAAGGTTGGTGCCCTGTGATTTGATTCCACTTATTTTACCTCATTTGCTCATAAGTGAATAGACAAAAGGCACAGCTCAAGTTTTCAAATGCTCTTTCTGGTAAGATTAGATCGAGTGGATCATCCATTGCTATTGATCTATTCAAACCAACTTACAGATTTTAAGGAAATGTCATTGATAATCCATCAAATTATATTCATGTAATAAATTCATAATACTGGCATCAGTATTTAAATGTTTCATTTGGACAAATAAGTTGCAAATTTGTGTTTGAGAGTGGTGAAATGTTGACTAGTTGAGTAGTTGCCAATTCTTTGTGATGATAAACAATTATTACTCAATTGGTGACTTTCAAATAACCTTTACAATCTCAGTTTAGGTGAACAACTACATGTAGGTGCCCTATTTGACCAAAGAAAAAAAAAATCAATTTTTATTCCTCTTTTACCTTTTTTCTCCAGGATGCCATTGCCCAATTGGTGGCACATTTGACAGCAAAAATTGCTGTAAGTACCATGATAAAATAATCAACAGTAACATTGGTTAGAAGCATATACCTGCCAACTCTCACATCTGGAGGTTTAAAACTTCAATTTAACACCTAGTCACCCTAGGGACAAATTTTAAATACCTAGCTGACACGTTGATCTATTACAGCCTTAACAGAGACCTTCTCAAAAATATGTAAACTTAGACCACTGAAAGGAAAGAAAAGATCATGTACATAACAGTGTACTTCCCCCAATTCTCCAATAATTGGGGAAACCACTGTCAACGGTGTTATTTTGGGCAAAACACATGTTGGGACTGGGACCTGGAAATTTTCAAAATGTCTGCAGAAAACTTTTGAACACCATGTGAAATCTTTGGTTGTCTTTGGAAATCCTGTTACTTCAAGATAGCGAGCTGATGCCTCAGTTTCTTGGAAAACATTAGCAGGTGTAGTAGCAGGTGGAATAACTTTAATTTGTACTTAAGTACATTTGTTAATTGCAGCATTTGACGTTTATGAAATGTTTGTGGTTCAGAAAGGAAAGGTTCTTAGAGTCACTGCCATTCATCATTTTCGAACTTAATTGCTTCAGTTTACTGTTAACTATACCATTATTTGTGTTTGTTCAGACTTCAGTTCCAGTGAACATGCAGATAGACATTGCACCTCAGCATCACTTATTTATAATAGGAAGAAATGGAATAAACATCAAACAAATCATGCAGAGGACTGGAGCAAAGTGAGTTAATTAACAAATAAGGCTTTGCCACCCGGGGGGCCCGGGGAGGGGGGGGGTACTTTGGGAATTTCTGGGTGGGGTTGTGCCGCTGGGACCCTGGAACCCTTAGCCTATACCAGAGCTAGTTCAGTTGAATTTTGCTACCCTATACTAGAGTAAACTCCCCAAATCCCCCCATCT